ACACAACATACTGACCTAGTTAGACCAGTAATACCACACAACATACTAATGAATAAGAACTTGAATGTCGGACTTCAGTTCCAAAACCGAACAGCAACAAAAACACAATCTACACAAAAGAAAAAAGGGTTTACTCAACAACGAGGAATAAAATGCTGCTTTGTAACATGGCAAATAAATTATACATATCTCTAGGCAATACATACATACATATGTATTGTCGTAGTGTACACAACAATTTTATAAACAAACAAATACTTGTGAACAACATACAACTTCACAAGTCACCTGTCACTCAGAGCTAAAAGCAGAAGTGGGGCACCAATGTGACCGGCTACTTTTACTCAGTTGATAATGTTCCGCTTTTGTTAACATGTTGGAAATGTAAAACAAACAAAAAGCACCATTACATGTACTCAGTGTTTACACATACACTTTAATGTAACACCTTTATGAGAGTGTCACTACAAATGTTACACTTACAACGTAATTGGCATCATAGAAGTCGACTTTATGGCATAAAGGTGTAGCTAACAATGTGGCCTCCAAGTCTGATATTAATAACCAGACTGACCAACACTACTACCATCATAGAGCAGTTCATGTGTTGTGTGTCTTCTATCCTATTCCACCAATCTCCTCCAAACTTGCCCCCCCCAAAAAAACGTTCAGTGGGTCGGCCTTTGCATGGTTTACTATCGGTGTTTTAATCATCTCTCTTCATTTTGCACTTTTAATGTTAAATAAAAACTCAAACGCGGAACTACTGTCACCCGGAACTACATTTTCCACCGGACCAATCAAAGTTGCTACAATCTACCGGAAGTGCAACAGAAGACGGAGACGCCGAAGAAAAACAGCGCTCATTTTTAAATCATGTCTAAAAAGAGAAACGCACGTCACAGTCGTTACGTCGTGAGTTGAGAATGTCGGGCGGAAGTTCATCTCCAGAGAAGTCCGGTAAGAAATCTGAACGTTAGCGTTAGCATGCTAAGTACAGGACCTAGCTAGCTTACGTTAGCCTAGCATCCGTGTGTAACGCTATTTGCGGTCCGTGCTGTTTTACCGTGCAAATGGTCCGATCCAAGATATAGAAAGTATTTAATAATATGATAATAATAATCATAATAAATATTACAAATAGTATGGATAAAAATTAAATATCAATAAAAAAATTAAAATGATCAATCATACAATCCGATTTTATTTAAACATATTAATTGTGTTTGTTTTTTGCAACTAGTTCACAATTGTGATTATGCTTAATGCCATGGTGTCCAATGTAACCGTCTGTCTGGCCTTTCCTTTCTATTTAAAGTACAAAGCTATCTGATCAATCTTACAGTAACAACATTAACAGTTATTAAAGTTAAGTTACTGCTGTTACCACTCCGACGGCCCGCCCGCGGCCGTTGGAGTGTGTAGTGTACATCTGTGTATTTTCCAACATAACTTCAGTTCACATGTACGTTTTTCCGGTATCTGGATCTGCATTGGCTGCATTGTGCTGTTTAGATTGACACCTCATTTGACCTATTAGGAGCTTCCATGTCCTCTCCACAGCCTAGAATAGCCAATGAGAGTCCGCGTTGAAGGAGAGTGCCCGCCCCTCTTCTTTCGTGTAATGCTCGAGCCAATTGCAACCGATCGTTCTGATGACTCACGCTTCGTATAGCCAATGAAATTTCGAAAACAACGATCTACAGCTTCAGTGGGAAGATTTAAATCCCAAACCAGGAAGTTACTGCGCAACAGCGAGAGTCTGCAGCCAGTTCCTCGTGCGTCAAAGACGGAAAGTGTGCGTTTTGAGACTTTAGTAAAGAATAACCGCGAAACGCTCGGAGAAAACAACTTATTCGATGCAAGAAGAGATGGAATTGTGTCTTCGGCGGGATAGTGACAAGCCTGGAGATGAAGAATCAGATGAAGGGAGCGAAATGTCGTTTGCCTCAGAGACAGAGGCAATGTTGCTGGACGGAGACGACATTACTCTCAAGTAAGTATTTTATATTATATAACTTATAAATTACTGTATTTCGACATAAATAAGCTTTAGTTTGAATTATGAAGACACACTTTGTAGAATGTCTGCTGACCTGTTGGGGGGACACACTGTGTGTGTGTCTTTAGGTGTTACTTCTGATCTGGGGGAGGGGTTTCTCTCTCTCTCTCTCTGTCTTTCTCTCCCCCCCCCGTGTTTCATTGTGTGAACTGCTGACATGTGAGGCAGCGAGCTGTAAACGAGTAGAATGCAGAAAAGATGGAAACATTTTGTCTAGTTTTGTAAATGACTAACTGTTATGTCTTTATTTTCACACAATAGGCAATCATCTGATGTAGATTCAGATCAGGATTGGGAGCCGGATACTTCGTGCCCAGTCAGCAAGCGGCCACATAGAGTGGAGCAGCAGGACAGCACCTCATCACCGGAGGAGCCCCATCCCCCGACTCCCCAGAGAGGTTCTGCCAGCAGAAGAAGACCAAGAGGCAGAGCACGGGGGAGGAGAGGGACCGGCAGTAGCAGCAGTCAAGACGGCACATCTGGAGAGAGATGGAATGATATTGACATTCCAGACATAACTCCACCACAGCCCACCTTCAGACCCACCCGCTCATCAGGACCTCAGCTCACACGTACCGCTACGTACACAGCCCTGCAGCTTTTCCAACTCTATTTTACAAACTCTGTTTTACAGACAATAATTCAAAACACTAATGACTTTGGCTCGACTCACTACTCGTCACCCTCCAACCCGTGGATTGATGTGACATTGCAGGACATGTTTTCATTCATGTCCTTGATCATCTACATGGGGGTACTGAAATGCTCTTGGTTTACTGATTACTGGCGAGGGGGTAAACTGTACAGCTTGCCGTTCCCGAGGCGGGTAATGACTGGTAAGAAGTTCCTCAGGGTCTGCCAGTCCCTTCACCTCAGTAGCTCGGTGGCAGATGCTGCTAACGAGCAGAGGAGAGGCACGGCAGCCTTCGATCGGCTCTGCAAAATAAAGCCACTCTACGAGGAGATAAGGGAAGCCTGCAAAAGGAATTATCACCCTAGCCAGGAAATTGCCATCGATGAGCGAATGGTTGCCTCCAAAGCCTGCATTGGGCTCAAACAGTACATGAAAAATAAGCCTGTTCGCTGGGGATATAAACTCTTCGCTCTGGCCGACTGCAGCAACGGTTATACGTGGGACTTCTTTGTCTACGCGGGAAGGTTCCAGGGACACAGTTACGATTCGGTGATGGAGCTCGTCGACACCAAGTTGCTGGGCACTGGCTACAAGCTCTTTGTTGACAGTTTTTATACTAGTCCCACCCTTTTCCGCGACCTCCTTCAGAAGAGGATCTGGGCGTGCGGAACCATCCGCACAAGCAGAATTGGATTCCCAAGAACTAAAGTAAACAGTCTGGTCTCAGACTCTCCCCGTGGCAGCATTCGCTGGATCAGGGAGGACTCCCTCCTCTTTGTCCAGTGGCGAGACAAGAAGGACGTCTTCATGTGTTCAACACTCCACACGGCCCATGCGGAGGACACGGTGCAAAGGAGGGTCAAAGGTGCATATGGGCACTGGGCATTGAAGGACATCCCAGTTCCACCAGCGGTGAAGGAGTACAACCAGTAAGTACTATATATTCTATGTTTTATGCCCTTTGAAATGTCATCATTTGTGTGCTTGATATATTTATGTTTTGGTATATTTTTCTCAATGTTGTGTATTTCTGTCCACCCAGGTCCATGGGGGGAGTGGACCTCTCTGACGCCCTGATCGGGTCCTATAAAGTCCTCCACAAGACCCATACGTGGTATAAGACGTTCTTTTATCATTTCATGGACATCGCGATTGTGAACGCCTTCCTCCTCCACACAGACATTGCAGAAGGTAAAGGAGAGGTACCGATGACCCAGAAGGCGTTCAGAGAGACCCTCGCCAGGGAGCTGGCAGAGGTGGGATCTCCCTCCACAGCCAGACCCGGACCACCTCCTGCTCCAAGCGGAGCGCATCACAGGCCAGTACACATCAGTGGGCACAGCACCGCTGGGCGTCTGAAGTGCAGGCACTGCCATGCAAAGACACCACTGAAGTGCTCCTCCTGCGATGTGCCTTTGTGCTTGGTCCCCGGTCGTGACTGCTATAATAACTGGCATGTTGCCAATAACCTGTAAAAGTTATAATTAGTTTGCCGCGTGTTCATTTTTTGAATAAACTGCTTTTCCACCATAGCACTTGTTTTCACTCTTTTATGTGCACAAAGTTTAGTTTCAATTAGGGGAAAAAGCACTGTGTGTTTATGCTTCAGTTACTCTGTCAGTAATAATGATGGTGAATCTGGATATGGGATAGGACACCTCTCAGTGTCACCTTTCATTAGAGACCAAAATGATGACTGTGCGTTCAAGAATAGCCTCGGTATGTGACCGTGGTCACCAAGTGTCCTGTGGAGTCTCCGAATACGCCTAGACATACTCTTAGAAAAACATGTGTAAAATATTCATTTTCTGTGGTATTGTTATCAGAATTGAACCTGGATTAGGTAAGGCTTCATGCTATGGTTCCATTGTGTTTTCCAGCTAATAAGTCCAGCTATAGTCATCTGCAGATGTCGGCTTGCAAAGAAATATTCAGGCGGAAATAAAAACCTACTTCAGTGTGTTCAAACTTCTATTACTCAATGCCAGTAGCACTTACAGTGATTCTGACTGTTGGGGACGTTTTCGGCTCATTTTACAGGAGTGGTAAGAGGTTAAAACCTTTTTGAATATTTACTTCTCAGCTGAGCACCAGGAGGACAGAATGGAGGCTACAGGTACTCGTATTCCATACATTAATATTTAGTCTGCCTTATGTAAACATTACCAGTGTTTCTGTGTTTTGTCTCATTTCACTCAGCGATCGGACTCTTCAGCTGAGCGCTGTGAGGATGAGGTGATAGGAGCAGCCAGAGGCCAAAGGTCATTTACTACTCATACTTTTTACTCCATTCCTTCCATACATGGTGTTCACTACAGGTATACATGTATACCACAGTACTGTAAGTACTGTACTTAAGTACAATTTTGAGGTACTTGTATCCTACCGTTTCAATTTCATGCTACTTTGTACTTTAGTCCACTTCACTACATTTATTTTACAGTATTAGTTCCCAGTTAGGCTACTTCATTCAGATTTAACACACAATATAAATCAAAACTATTATGTAATATTGAGTAGTATATAGCCTAGTTGTGAATTGTATATTTTATATTTAGTATATAAAGTAGTTAAACTTGGCTCCACTTTTACCAGCCGCAACGTTTAACGGATGAAAACTTTAATGCATCAATATTCATAACCAATGATGAGGCTACCATGAATATAGTGTCTGATGCCAATACTGTTCTGCTGTAAATCAAGTAACCTATGAACGCATGTATTTTCACACTGTTCTGTAAAAAAAATACATCAAACACATCGGTTGTATAAATATGAATGATGACGCAGCAAAAAAAAATATTATTGGTTAATTATGAAGTAGTATAGACTAGTCTAGGTAATTAATAACAACAATAATAAAATCAGGGTTTACAAAGTGCTTTGACAGACAAAGCAGCAAAAACAAAACAATAAAACAGAAAGCTCAACAAAGTTAAAGAACTAAGAGTTAAACCTGATAAAACAAACAATCGTTACAATAAGAACAAACTGAGAAATCAAATAATTTATTAAAATCAAATAATAGCAAACAGATATAATGCTCTCCTACATGTCTTCACATTTGATTAGTAGCAATAAAAACATGAACCCAAGCACCGGCTACAATACCAACAATCTGACAAGACCAACGTTCAGACTGCTTTCAGACCAGACGAGTAGAAACTTCAGACTCGGCACAAAGTCACAAACGCACTTCGGTTTCATGCACCTGAGATGGATTCAGACTGCATTTCCTGCAACGCCGTCATGTTCCCTTTGGGAGACGTCAAGAGCTCATTGAGAGATCACGAGTCCTTCAGTGTCTTTTGCATGTTGAGTGTTCAAGTCCTTCAAAGACACTTTAGTGTCGGAGGGTCTCTGATATGTTCTACGATCAGAAACTCTCCGCCATCCAGGCAGTTCCTTAAAAAGCGTCAGGCGATATAATTGGCCTTTGACTTGTTTGGAGATTGTTCCTTTTTTGTGTGACAAATCCTGTTATTGCAGGATGGAGGTCTTCTCTTTGCGATGACTTTGTTCTACTTTATATGAATAAACTTTAAGACGAAACAAAAGTACAGTTTCAGGTTCCGTCTTTGTGTTCGTCTTCCCTTGTTGTTAACTGCGGCATTTCAGTTCCATTGTAGGTCACAATCAATTCAGAATCGACAGAAATTGATAAAAACCCACAGAAGATAGGAAACCACATTTAACCAAAAAAGGATGTGCAACTAAGAGAACAATACACCTAACTTTGTTTTTTAATGAAGTGAATTTAAGCCCAGCAGAGGCCACAACAGTCAACTGTGTATATAAATATATATATATATCTAACGGTTACTGTATATAATGTCAGTGTTTCATGAATAGACAACAAAATATGCATTATTTATTTTTAATGTATTTTTCGACATGCTATACTGTGACTTTTTTCCACATGCTATACTGTGACTTTTTTCCACATGTTATACTGTGACTTT